CAAAACCCTCTTTAAAGTTTCTACCGCAATCCTACAGTAATGAAGAGAGATAGGTGATTCGCTCTGCAAATCTAAGTTGTAGTTAGCTCTACAAAACGGTACCTAAAGCTTCTCGAAAGACTTCATCACAAAAGAGTTATTAACAATCAAACAGTAGGCACATTTTTTGGGACACCCTGTATCAAGGCAATCTTTCGATCATTCTGACTTCAAAAAATTGAAGTGGCTCTGCATTGGAGTTTTTTGTTACCATGGTATTCACATTTTATGCACCAATTATATATCGCAAAATGCTTTATTTATACTCTTGTTCACCGCACTCATGTAAACCTCAGTTTTTAACAAGTGAAATAAGAATTGAAGTGAAGATAGTAGAGAAGTCTCAGGCTATAACGATTTTGTGACGATGAGCACTACTCGACATCGAACTTGCAGGCAAAATGGCTATTTTCTTAGCATTCGGATAGCATAATAGAACTTGCTTTATACTGTCGTGATATGGTTTGATGAAATATAAAGATATTAAAGGGGTTAACACGGGAAGGCCCGCAGCTATATATGAATACTGTAGCATTGAATGGTTTGGACCTAAGAATTGTACCGGAGCTTAAAAGCAGTGGTAGACAGGCCTGGTAGCTGATTGCCTGAAAATTCAGACATTCTGTTGGTCAAATTCTCCTTCTTTGAAATCATCTTTAGCATTTGAGAATGCATGCGTAAAGTCTTCTCAGACATCCATCCAATATTGAGCCCTACGATAGTTTTCTTCTCAGAACCAATATAGCGATATAGACGGGTAATATAAGGAGAGTAAGGGGCATTTCAATAATAAGAGTCTTCCAATCGTGGAGGTCTAAGTAGGCACTGATGCATTTATCTGTCAAGTCATCTGTGTATATGTGAGCGAGTTGCGTTCTGGCGATACCCTCAATCTGGAAAACGAAGAATGTCATTCCCTAAAAAATGAGCTTGGGGTTGTTGATTCAAAAGGAAAAATGTCGCGAAAGTAAGCTTAGAATCTTCCGTTCATTATTTTTTGGTAGGCGCAGGGAGACGCCGTTACGAACAAAGGCAATTATTCGTAAGCAAGCAGAGGCTGAGCGAGAGTGCGCTTGATCAGAGAGCCGCTGACAGCGCAGATGATGGCGGCATCTCTCTGCGTGCGTTGTGAGGTACAGCAAAAGATGTGACACAGGGTCGGGCAAAAGATGTGACACACACCACCAAAAACAACCCCTCCCCCGCATTATCGTTTGCCTACCGTAGGCATGGCAAAAAGGATCTACCAAGCATAATTATTAACATATTCGAAGTATCTTGTCAATTAAGTCCTGCGGGCCAAGTTTTATCAAACTTTGAGGGATCCCGATTTGGGCCACCTTAGTGAAAGGTTATAAACGTGGTTAACTATATCTCAAAAGTGAATTAGCTGCATATTTTTGTACTTATTGTCAGTACAAAGCACTTCCCATTAGCCCACACTATGAATCCTGCTTCAAATAACCACCAAAATATGGAATTAGGAGCCACCCAAAATCTCATTTGTTTCATTTTTAGCATAGTGGTTGTGTCAGCAACTGTTGCGCAAACGAAAGAAGAGAATTTAACTCTAATCATTTCTGCAAAAAACTACGAGCTATCGAAATGTATATAATTTGTTCGCTAAATTGCTCTTTGGGGTAAGTTAATGGGGTGTGGCACAACCCAAAAGCTGTGGCTGCCACACCTTTTAAGGAGTTGTGCAACATCCCGTTAACTTACCTGCAAAGCATTTAAATCTCTGTCTTTTTTATATCGTTGCCACTGCTAAAGCTTCTTCTCTATACAGCAGCAATTTTACTTTAAATAGTTGCTCCTACGGAAAGATATGCTCGTTTTTCTTACCTATGCGAGTGGAAAATACTGCGAAAATATGGGGTTACGGTAACTTGCTAAGTCTGCGCATAATTATATTCGGTAGCCTAAACCTCGTAAACTTTAATAGAAGTAGTTTGTGCCTGATATCTTCTCTAGTCTGAGATATCAAAAACAAAAAAAACGAGAGTTTGGGACAAACAAGATTTTGGGTAGCTTTTAATATTCCATAGTTTGGAGGTCATTTGGAGTGAAATTTCTAATGTGAGGAAAGAAGTAGTAATTCTCTGTACTAAAAAGAGAAGCTACCTAACTTAGCTCGGCCTTTTGGCAAGGGACATATATAGACTGAATCAGCTTCAAAAGCTGATTCCAAATATGCTATTTCTAGCTGCCGCGCACCATTCCGAAGCGAGTTTTGGGGTTTCTCCTGCGCAAAATTGGCATGCTCATCGACACACGGGCATCACGTCATCATCATTTAAGTGCACTTGCATTAAGCATTTTTTAGTGGGAAAAAATTGAATTTGTACTGTTTCGCTATCTCAGCACCTTTTTCTTGCAGATTTTTTTTACAGGAGTCTTCCCATGTTCAGTAGTATGCCAATTTTGCGTAGGAAAAAGCCCATAACTCGCTTTGCAATGGTGCGTGGCAGCTAAGGATAGCATACTTGGAATTAGCGTTTGTAGCTGATTCAGAATATATATGCCTTCTATCAAAAGGACGAGCTAAGTTAGGTAGCTTTCCTTATAAGTGCAAAAGGCAGCAGTTAGGTGACTCACCTTCGAAATAAAGTTAACATGTTTAAAAATAATCATCTTACTTGTGTGAATATATTTGAAAACATCGGAAATAGCTGAAACTTGGCCCACGAGGGTTATTTAACTTGCTAATAACGAAAATGATGCTCTTATGCTTTTAGGGCTCTTTTATTATGCTTACTGTACGAATGCAATGGTAGACCAGAACATCGATGTGCTAGTACTTTGCATAATGCCTATCTGACATTGTTATCGAATATCATGTTATCGCTAACATCAGTATCACCTTGATTACGACCTCCCCCCCCCCCCCCCCCTCCCCCATCCCTGACCCATCAATATGTCCCCCAAGTGTGGCATGGAACACTTCACGTTGACCCTGACTATAACTGCAATTCAAATCTTTGCTATCTAGCTGTTGTCTGACATAATGAGATTCAAAATATGTGCTACAGCTTTCATGTCATCCATAAGAAAAGAAGATTGCGATTACTAACGAATTGAATGCCACAGGGTATATAGGCGATTAGCATAATGATAACAATTGTTCGAATTTTTGGTGGCGATCTGAAGAGTACATAGTAACGATAAGCGAATAATAGTAGCAATATATACAGACCATAAGAAGCACAGTGCAGCCAAATGTTATACCTGAGCTTCAAATCGTTGAGGAGGATTTCTAAACAAAAAAGATGGACTAACAAGGTAGTGCAAGCTGTGGTTCCGACCGAACAGCAAACCCCACTTGAAATATAATAAATCGTTGGTATATTTGGGGCAATTCTAAAGCATATATAAAAATGCAGCATTTTAGCTACGATCTTCATACCTCTGGCGAATAAGTATAGAAGAAAGGCAGCAACTAGGTCACAAACACCAAAATTAAGAATCAGAACAGAATATGTTTTGATCTCCTTTGGTGTTCGTTTGATTATGAGAAACACTAGGACGGCGTTGAACACAATTCCAGATGTGTTCAGTATAGCGTGTAGTAATGCGGTCCTTTCCATCGGACCCATGCTGTAAATGAATTGTCATTCAATCCGTGAGAATGAATTGAACATGAGAAGAAATCCCAAAGTGTAAATTTGAACTGTAAACCAGGAGAGAAGGGCAGATTTTGAGTAGGAAGAAAATCTTGAACATGCCACGATCTGTTTTGATAATATTAAAGGCTCTGGCTAGTACGCTTGTCAGTTCCATGTCTGACAACAATTTGATGTCTTAACAAATTACGATCAAGCTATTCCTCCGTGAAATTGTTCACAAGCGCAAAAATTTCGATGATGTTTACCGGCGAGAGCTGCTCTTTTGCTTAGCACAGCATAAATTTTGTGCTTGACGTCACGCATGGAAAACAAAATTATATGAAGGCCAGATACAAGACTATTTAAAATTACAGTAGCAACTAGTTGAGACTTCGAGAAATGGCTTAACCTTTGATTTAACTGTATTAGCGGCTAGAAGGCGGGGCCTTATGACCTAGTTAAAGCCGCGACGCAGTCCGCGTCTCTCTCGCGCATGCGCTCTCCGATCATTCTCTAGCTTTAACTAGGTCACGAAGCCCCGCCTTCCAGCCGCCAATTCGTTTGAATCAAAGGCTACTTATGCATGATTCGATTGAAAAGAAATATCTCAAGATAACTCAAGGATACTCTTACACTTCTTACTTGGACCCGTTTCCCCAGTTTCTCTTGTGTGTGATTGTTCATATAGAGGGAGAATGTTTAACGAAATCTTCTCACTTTTTTATCGCAAAAACATGCTAAAAAACGCTACTTTTGAGCATCACATCGGAAGAATGGAACTTGTAAATTACATTCAAAGCAATTTAAGTCCCACATAGGAGTTCAATGTCTCTAACCCCTTTTTTAACTGGGACTGACATAAGGCAATGTGGCTGGAATCCCATTTTTCCACCTTAAGTGAAGTGCAGAGCCCAAGAAAGCGGGATTCAAAATCTGCAATCGGAGCTTAGTGATGATTTTATTGAATAAATAATGTCCGGAATCGATATGATTGTTTACTTCTACTTTAACTACTGTTATTTTCCCTTTCAATCATGTGCTGCTTACAAATTCTTAGTACAAATAACAAAGCTTTATTTCTTCATAATCAAGGGTGTCATTGGATCAAGCACGCTGATGATGGTTGGTGATCAGACTGAAAATGAATCAGTTGAAGTTGTGTTGTATGAGCATTAGTTTAACCAAATATAAAAAACCTACCCATGCGGTATTGTATTTCTGTCGTGACTTCCCAAATTCTGCTGTACAATATGATTGGCACAAGGTTGCTGTCTGATTTGAATACTTGTTCGGCATATTCAGGAGCGCAGAGCCTAAGATAATGCAGAGAATATGCGACATAGCGCTATGATAGAGTCAAAGTTGCCTATATCCTGTCATTCGTTGATCTTTTTGTGTTTTGATTTCCACACCATCCCAGTAGCATCCTGGAGTGGTGACTTCGCGATCCCCATAATCGATGAATATCACTTCGATTTGTCTACCTGGGGGATCCTGTATAAAAGCGATTTTTGATATATTGTTATAGGTTGTCATCAATTCAAACCTGTATCCAGAAGTATGCCCACTTGAAATCGTCTCTTTCATTAGTGAGTCTCACTTCTTTATAGCCCACTCTGTGCTTGAGCGTTTGCCATTTTGTGGTAGCTTGCAGTACTTTACCGTCTCCTGCTGGCTAAAATAAGCATTTGGAATTATATGCTCTGAAAGAGTTACAGATACGCAGGCCCTTTCATCGCCAAGTCGTCCTCCATAACCACCTGAGCAAATGCATTTTGAGCAATCACGAGGATTGGGGAATCCACCATTCTTGCATTTTCCTCTCTTGTAGGATGGACCCGAACCTTATGGGCCGGATGGGCCGGATGGGCCGGGTACGACAGGCGCGGTCGTGGTAGTTGTGTAGTTGTAGTAGTTGTAGTACCCTATTTTCAGGTGTATAAGCCGCACCCTTTTCGCTCTATAGGCAAACACGCCAAAAGACTGATTGTGATCATGGAGCGCGTTAAGTGAGAGCAGTATGTGATAAGGCGACCGCTTCGCGAGACATGTGCGCGGCGGCACGCCTGGGTCTGCTCGCGTTTAGAGCAAAAAGGGTGCGGCTTATACACCTGAAAATAGGGTAGTTGTGGTAGTTGTGATAGTTGCAGTACTTGTGGTAGTTGGTCTTTTAGTTGATGTAAGAGTTGTGGTGAATGAACGTGGTGTTGGACGGTATGTGGGAGTTGGACGGGCACTTGGACGGGATGTCGTAGTTGGACGCGGTGTTGGACGGGGTGTTTTAGGTTTTGTGGGTGGTGTAGCTGTATGGTCCCAATCCTAGCCCGCACCGAAATTGAATATCCAGTCGGGAAGTAAGTTGCCAATCGTACAGGGTAATTTCCACCAGTTGCGCCAGCCTCTGGTGCTGCTGGAGCTTGAACCTTCCTCCCCTAGAAGATTACTAGTGTTTGAGCCGCCTTTTGCCCTGGCCGTCTACCATTGCTAATGCCTCTGATGGTGCCATTGTTTGAGCCTTCTGCCCCTGGCCGTCTATTAGTAGTACTTCTGATGGTACCATCGTCCGAGCCCTCCCCCTGGCAGTGTATTAACACCATAACCTCCAAAGGTGTTCCATCTGCTGGTGAGACTTGGACTACTTGGGCCAGTCAGACCACTGATAAATCTTGATGTTGCTGGGCTTCTGAAACTGCTACTTCTTCCTACATTTCCTCCTCCCAAAAAGTAAGTTCCCATTTGTCGTTTTACTCGTTCTTGCTGGGGTGATTGTTGCACTCCGTCGCATTTACCCAGAAAGACGCTTGCAGGTTCAGCTTAATTCGTCTTCCCAACAAAATCGGCTTACTTAGACAATCGTAGATTTTGTTCACCAATAGCAAATCGTAGAAGGAAAGAAATGTAATCCGAGTGTGCCTACGTATCTTACATCGTTGGGAACCATGGAGTAGTTACCTGGTTTTTTCTGCATCCAAAAATTAACATAGCTAAAAAAGAGTTTTTATTTCTAACGGGCAACTACCGATTGAAATGGCATACAATTTGGCTGAATAATGCATAATGCTTCCGTAATCGTAAGGAATGTTCAAATTATCGTTTGTAGTTGGGGTTTCCTTTTGTGAATTCTCTCTTATTCATGAGCTAAAACAAACTTTTTTGGATAGCTGAGTAAAAGAGACATATGAAAAAACCAACGTCTATGTTATCCCACTCGAGAGTTATGTACTGATCGCGATCGTGCCTTGAATGCTGTGCCACAATCCGAGAGCACGGCCGATTTCGTGTTGCGCGGTACCAATCTAATCATGAGAATTCATAACCATGCTGGTACTACTAGACTATGGAAGTTTATAGTGTAAGAATCAGGGCTCGGCACGAGCTGGCACCAGGGGATGTTCAAAACGAAGTCTCCCTTAATTTTCGCTAAGTTTTACGAAGCCCCCTTGACCCTAAACCCTAAACGTAAAAGTACCCCCAAAAAAACGAAATGTCGACTAAAAAAACGTCGAATTTTGTCGACAAAAACGATATCCCCTTTGCTTTTTGTCCCAAAAACGATATCTAGGTTGCCCCATGCCAGCGGTGCCAAGCCCCGGTAAGAATGCAAATTCATGCAGTAACTATCCGCTTTTGGTGGGAGCTTGCTTCGCCGGCAAGGGGGAGACGGTTGTTCTGCACCGCTCATCATAACAGCCCCCTTGGTGCGCGCCCCCGATTGGTCAGCGCTGCGGCAACGATTGGTAAAGTGAGAGCCTGTCTTTAGGGACTGACAAGGGAATGATGATCGGTCGAAGTGGCCATTTGGAATGAGCTGTATATTAGGAAACCGTCCACGGTAAGGCAAACTCAAAACTACTTTCGCTAGCCGAGCGGTTTTGTGGGGTGAGTTACAAGGCCATTTTCCTCCGGCGCTGCCGGCGCACTCGGTGATGAGCGAGGCGCTAGAAATGCCCATTAGTGTGGCGGTGGCGCAGTGGCAAGACAGCAGGCCACGAGGCAGGTGGTTGAGGGTTCGAGTCCTGTTGCTGCAGTTTTGTTTTGCAGTTCTGTAAAAAGTCTATTGGGTGACAATAAACGAAAAATACTCATTTCTAGGCAGTTAAAACAAGCTATTTAATGCAAAAAAGTCACTATCTCTACAATAAGCTATAATCTTCCACAATATGTAAATCTGTGGAGGTTATGATGTCACAACAAGGGATTCAAATGATATATTAGCATGTATGGAATACAACCACAAAATGCTCAAAGCAAAAGAGCTTCTCGCAGCACGAGCAAAATTGCAATCGATTCACATCCCATGTATTGGCTCTCGAATTGAACTTTACCTTGCATCATAGGGATTCCATCCTTAAAATCACGCAGTTTTGCTCGCCGCGATTCAAAAACCTTTCATACCCATGGCATGCAGTCGGATACATTGGTAACCACCCCGGCAAATTCGAGTCTCCTATTCAGTACTGTTTTTCATCGACTTTGATAGGCAATTGTGAAGCTGCTGATTGTCATCGTTTATATTTTTTCCGATGTGCACGCTGCGAGAAGCTCTTCTGCTTTGAGCATTTTGCGGTTGTATTCCATACATGTTGATATATCATTTGAATCCCTTGTTGTGACATCATCGCCTCCACAGATTCACATATTGTAGAAAATCATAGTCGTAGAAATAGTGACTTTTTTGCAGTAAATAGCTTCTTTCAATTGCGTAGAAATGAGTATTTTTCGTTTACTCTCACCCAATAGACTTTTTACAGAACTGCAAAACAAAATAGCAGCAACAGAACTCGATCCCTCGACCATCTGCCTCGTGGCCTGCTGTCTTGCCACTGCGCCACCGCCACACTAATGGGCCGTTCTAGCGCCTCGCTCATCACCGAGTGCGCCGGCTGCGCCAGAGGAAAATGGCCTTGTAACTCACCCCACAAAACCGCTCGGCACCTAGCGAAAGTAGTTTTGAGTTTGCCTTACCGAGGCCGGTTTCCTAATATACAGCTCATTCCAAATGGCCACTTCGACCGATCATCCTTCCCTTGTGAGAGGTGTAGAAGTGGACGAGCTGCGCAAACCATCCTCACAAAAGGAAGAATAAAAACTGTTTAAATTTTTATGACAACCTGAAATCAAGTGTAGTGCTCAAAAAAGTGCACTCGCATGCTTTGCAGGGCTCAGAGTATATGAAAATTGTGTTACTGCTTACAATATCAATAATATCCATGCGAGCAACTCGTCCAGTTTGGGAAAGAAAGTAAGCGCGCACCGTTGGCTTTGTGGCAGACTAATTAGCTTCTGGGAGCGGTGCAGAAAGGCATACACTCTATTGTGACTATTCTACAATAGAAACGAATTTCATGCTTACATGTTCGCATCCTTTACCCATAATTATTTCCTGCACTTGATGTATACATCCCATCATCCCGGAGCAACCTTTTTCGTAAACCACTTCTATCCTATGTTCCGCTGAAGAAAAGGAAGTTTATAAGATATTGAAGACGTAAACGTCACTCACCATTCTTGTAATCGATGAAGTAGATACAGGTATCCTTTTGCCAGTTGCGTACAGCTTTGCGGAATATACTCTGCACCCTTCCTGAAAGTGTTTCCATTTTGCTCAGAATGCTGTAAATGCACACTTACGATCCGTAAAACTCTATCCGAATGAGTAGTACACCCTGTTGTCTGCCCATCTCATGTTTTTAAATTTTTCAAATGCGAAATTCACCGCTTGTCGTTTAGTTCTGTTCAGTTCAACCGCTTCTTCTTGCTGGCCAAGGACATTAGCTTGATCATTCAAAGTAGCGTTAATGGGCTCAGGAAAGAATCTGGTTGAAGTTAAACTCTAACGTAATCAAAATGATGTCACTTTGATACAAAAGCTCTCCTAATGACGTCTGCCTGTTGACACTATCGATAGTTTCAACTTCGCTGTCTTTGTGTATTATTGGTGCCAGCTCCTTAAGATTTTTCAAAATTTGTAATAGCGATTTTTCTTTCTGGCAAGAGAGTTCACATACCGCTTCGAGTTTCTGCAATCTTTCTTGCTGTTGTGGAGTTGGCGCAAGTTCCTTTTCGATTTGCGCTTCATGTGCATTGAGCAATTTGTAGTTAGCCAGAAGTTCAGCTCTGTTCAGGGTCTGAACATCGAAAATAACAATGAGTTTGTGATAGAAAATAGCTTACCGTAGGTATATCGCTCAGCGCCTTGTCAATTTTTTCAACAACGCTGCTCGCTACACTGCTACCAGCAAGTAGGAGCAATAGGAGAATTACTCTCATCCTGAAAAACGTTTTTTTTACAAGAATGAGGTAATAAAATACAAGAAAAGAAGATGGGATAGAAATCTAATGCTATAAAGCTTTGCCAACTCTTCTAATATTCAATCGAGATGGTGATGGATGCTGTCATGAATGGCCGGAAATTGGAGCCTGGGTAAGTGCTTGTAAAATGCTCCGAACATAATAATTTCATTGAATTTTGAGGTAAAAGGTGGCTGTAATATACAACTTGATATTAGGCTATTTGCGAAATCAATAGTTTTCAAAATCACCGCTTGCCTTTAACGATGTGTCAGTGTCTCTTTTAACCTCTGAAAACTGATAAGTAGCGATAAGCCATGCGAATCGAACATTTGAAAAGATATCATTATATTACCATCTGATGATGCTACTTTTATAACTATTGTTGAATTCTGAGTTAGAAGACCAAATCGGCGTAGAGTAGCCAAATAACTGACTGCAAAGAATATCAAGATGGATTGCAATCAAGTGATTTCATAGTGAATGGGCAATTCGGACAATGGGGTTAAGAAGCTGGTATGTCAAAGTGGAAAATGGCGACTTATGCCGTATCTGACAGAGGCCGAACTGCTAGGTGGTATATGTATATACCAGTGCGTCACCTCTGCATCGCAGAGGCTCGCACTGGCCCTACTTTATCTATGCCTTACTCATTCCCGCATAATAATTGCATTGAAACTCACCGCGCTGTGTAGGCTATTACGAATGATTCGTAAACAACTACTCATTCCTAGAGGTTTTTTGTGTGAGATCGGTATTTTCGCGTAGATGAAACCTTTCCCAGAAGAACAGAGCAAATTTGAATAGGTGTTTGGAATTTTTACGGCTTCGTAGTCGCCATAAGGACAGTAAAATCGTGGGCTACATTTCTGTGCAAAAATCTTCTCAAATGATCAGGTAAAATCCTGAAAAATTGACCGTTTACACAGCCAATGCTTTTTGGCGCTGTTTTCGTAAAGTAGCAGACTTTTCATCACTTCTTTAGGCTAAAGTCCATGGCTTGCACATTAACTTGTCAAATATATCCATAACTCTGCAAAAAGTAGTACTACGGACCCAAATTTGCTGGCCAGAAGCCAAGTAGATCCGTTTGAAGCGCAATTTTCAACGGATCCACTCAACGGATCCGCTCATATTTTTGTATAGTGAGCTTTCATGCTGGTAGCGAGCGCTATGCAAAATTTGCTCAGGACGTTGGCTGGAACACGCTCTACGAATTTCATAACGGACACACACACACACACACACACACACACACACACACACACACACACACACACACACACACACACACACACACACACACACACACACACACACACACACACACACACACACACACACACACACACACACACACACACACACACACACACACACACACACACACACACACACACACACACACACACACGTTGGGGAGATACTGCAAGGTGAAGAAGAAATGCGTTAGTCCGGTGGATATCGCGATCACATGAAGGAATGACGGTCATAAACAGCATACTGATTGTTTCCACAATGGAATTTTTAGCCACAATTCAAATCTTCATCTTTTTTACCTTTACCTAAAAAGTGGTGCCAAAATTCTAACCGGGACGTTTTTCACGCTGAGTGCTCCAACTCCTCGGATTAGCACAAAGCAGAAACAACTCGAATCAAGCTCAAACACTCACTGTGGAATCTTCGAAGGTTGAGCTAACGAATCACATAAAACTTGGGTAGAAAAGCATTTTCGGAAATAAAGTTATTGGGGTCAGGCGCAACCCCTCAAAAGGTCAAGCCGCCTGAGCTTTTGAGGGATTGCGCCTGACCCTTTTAACTTGCGTTCAAGATTCAGAAATCGCCCCTTTTTTGATATGATTATTGAGCGTAAAGCCTCTTCTTGCTATATTGAAAATTTGGAACGAAACACTCCATCTCTGTGAAAATTATAGCTTTGAAAAAAGGGCTATCCAGATCTAAAACTTACCGTCAAGCTGTGTGTGGTTGTATCGCAGAAAGTCGGGCCTACGGATTTCAAAAAATACAAACCTGCATTGAAGGCTGGTCTTCTTCAAAATATAACACTCTGAGGACTTGGAGGTGAAGCGGAGGGTCTTTAGGGGTTTTCACAGGGGGGGGGGGGTCGTTTATGAAGGGCTTCTGCCTGACCTCTTGCTCAACCCTGATTATAATTGTTTTGCTAATCATAGTGTTACTGTATAGTTATGTTTGTTTGACGGTAAGTTGTTCATATATATTTACTAAGTTCACGTACTCCTTTCTCTTTTTTCCACTACAAAAAAGGATATGGTTCTCTGCTAGAAACATTCAGCAGAAACTCTTCCATCGAACGCTCTTTTTCTTAAACTTTTGCCTACATTATGCGCCGAAATACACGCTCTAGAAAACACCACCACAGGATGCAACGGATTCCTACCATGCACTTACCGTGACCGAGCCGATTACAGCAGCTCAATATATGAAAAGATTCGTCTCGGCGAGCTGAATCCAAATCTGCCTTCAATTTTAAAATCCATTGAGAACGAAGGGAGTTATGACGAAAAGACGCAAAGTCGGCGACATCGGCGACATCGGCGAATTCGGCGACATCGGCGAAATTGGCGAATTCGGCGAATTCGCCGAAATTTTTCACATTCCACTGTCACAACTGTATGATGGTCATATAATGCCGCTCGTAATTTGTGAAAAAAAGCCAGGGCCTTCAAAATTTGCATCGCCATATCTCGCTTAACTAAACGAATTCTGATCTCAAGAGATACTTAAGCCTCAGCTCCACCAGGCGCACCTCCTCCTGTAAAACCAAGCCTGTACTAACTTTATACGTGCGATAGGTAGCCAATTCCGGTTAGTTTTCACATTCCAAATTTTTGCGCACTCCGAATTGCTCTGTGTATTAATTACGAGAAGTTGACTGCAGCCAAAAACTGGCTACTTAGTACAGAGTATTCAGAGTGGGTGTAGGGATATTCGCACAACCGTAATTCTTTCCAAACAGACCGCCGCCGCGCGCGACACACTCTGCGACATTTTTGCCTAGGCAAAGCACAAGGGAAGGAGATATCTGCCGCGTGCGTGACGTTTCAGGACAAACTATCAGAATCTCGGACAATCGCAAAATAATCATGTGCAGTTGTTGAGCCTTATATAAAGCCAAGGTTGTTAAATTTTTTATGAGGCTTACGTTTCGGCTTTTCGCCTTCTTCAGAGCTCAAAAAGCGAGGAGCAAATGGAAACTATCCACCAGATGTCCACACGAGGTAAATTTCAAAGTTGCATCTCGCATAGACAGCCCACCTCTTTGCCGAGCAAGGGACTGCCGAGCGGTCTCGAGCGCCATCTCAGACAATCGCAAAATACTTTCGGGGAAAATTGAACTTTTAAAATTCCGGGGCGGACGCTCCTCTTGGGCCGTGCGGGTTGGCCCTGCCTACCTGGCAGCTCCTGTAGGAGTGTCCCCCGGATGTTTTGAACCTTCACTTTTTCCTGGAACTATTTTGCGATTGTCTGAGATGGCGCTAAAGGCCGCTCGTGCCAAAAGACCATTCCCCATTGAAGTTGTAGAATCTTGCAGTTCTGTACCTGCACAAAGTAGGTAATATCTTATACATGGATTCTTAACCGTGAAAGGGCGTGGGTGAGCATGCCGATAACAAAAATATATTGAATTCAGGGTTCTGGCATATAAAGGTGGGACCGGGTTAGGGAGAAGTTGTACGGAAATGGGGCGTGTAATTGCTATCATAGTGCATAAATAGGTCTGGGCGTAGCCGGATATGGCAGCTAGTATATACATAATTCGATGGCCTAAGTGATCTTGATGTGAACAAACACGGGGTAGTGCTTTGTATTGAGTGCAAAAAGAGGTACTGTCGAGTAGATTTTCCGCTTAATATAGTGTGCTTGCACAGAAGGTGAAATGCGGTAAAATTTGCTCGTGAAGAAGTAGCCACGCCAGTACTGCCGGCGTTTTGCTCCCGCAATTGGCCGGCGTCACGGTCGAAACTTTTTGTTTACGCGCAAATTTTATCGCATTTCACCTTCTGTGCAAGCACACTACATTAAGCGGTCTACTCGACTGTAGCTAACGTAGCTTCAAAAAAAAGTTCTTGGGTGGCCATTTGGAAACCTCAGAATTCCCTAAACTTGGTCCGTGTGAGCTTATTGACATACTCATTACCAAGATTTTACTCATCAAGCCTGAGAGGGTCTCATTTATGCCTAGGGTATGTAGATGCTTGGGATTTACTGTGAGAATTAGTGGGGGGGGGGGTCGTCGGGGCTCTTGTGCCACAACTCTTGCTCGACCCTGTAGAACTTACAAGAAATGCCTCTCTAGTCGAAGTAGCCATTCGAGGTACTAGGCTGCTGCATAAGTTATCTGCGATTTTTTTGCCTTATGTTTGAATCAGCTGTTACATGAGAATTTGACCTTCTATGCAATACTGTTTGTATCATTAGAAAGTGCATTTCTTGTTCTTTCTAACGCATATCAAATTCCAATAAAATACTCAGTCTAACGAGATTGCAGGCCTAAGATCTTCATGTGGCCGAGATACGATTTCGCCTGAAAAGAGTTGCAAGAAAATCTCCACAGTGCGCCCTTCAAATCGAGTCCTTTTATTGGTTGCGGAATAAGGGTGTAACATACTAGTATATGCACAAGCTCATTTTCATGAAGAAAACGTCTTGCCTGTAAAATTCGTTGTCAAACTTTAATTTTTTATATGAATGTTCTACAAGCAAGAACTTTTTGTGGATAGAGGCAATTGACGATCCAACGTTGGAGATGCTAGAGTAAAGCAAGAGCTAGCAGAAACCATCCACCAACTCCTCTTATCACTCGCCTCAAGTGTAAACTTTTCATTATTCGTAAATAGGCATGCACACATGTGCCGAAACAAGATCAAAAGCGGCTTCTTTTTTATTTGGTCAAAAAAATCTCACGGCACCGAAGACCCCATAGGCTTTTTTAGGCT